CAACTTGCTCCGCCTTAGTCAATATTGTAGAATGGAAAAGCCACAAATTGCATTAACTCTATATGGTCACATTAAATAATTCACTGTCAATGAGTTACTTCTGACTCAGCAACCCTACAGGACAGAGGAGAATTGCCCCAAAGTATTTCCAAGGCTATAAATCTTTATGGAAACAGACTAACTCATCTTTCACCCATGGAGCAAACTGCTTACCTTTTGGTTAACGGCCAAATGCTTTAACCAGTGCATCACCAGATCTTCTTGTCATATTAAACAGGTAGCTGAAAATAATGAATCTATGGACAAAGCTACAGTTTCATGTGGAAGATTTAACAGATTATCTGTATTAGGAGAAGTCTTCGTGTGGTGCCAACAGTTAAAGTGTTTGGTTGCTAACCGAAAGGTTGAAAGTTTGAAGTCTATCTAGAGATACCTTGGAAGAAAGGCTTGGTGCTCTACTTCCAAAAAATCAGCCACTAAAACCCCATGAAGCACAGTTCTACGCTGACACATAGGGGGAAGTCATGAGTCAGAAACAGCTCCACAACAACTATTTACCAGTTTGATCTATACTTGGATATATAGCACAAACAATTTTTATTAAAGAACATAGTTTGATTTGTGCCTGTTATGTTTATTAGATGAATTTGTTATAATCTAGGTCATATATATATATATATATATATACACACATATAAATGATCAATTCAAGAGGGGTAACTGTCAATACGAAAATGTGGTATACAGCTAGTTGTGTTAGCTATTCATGGCTAAAAACATCACATGCAACAATTTCCAGTGGCCTCAGAGTTAGATGTCGTCATCATGTCCCCTAGTTCATTTTTCTTCAGTTGGCAGCTATAAGCTGTAATGCCCCTACTAAAATTAATTCTTGAGTCAGTACATGTCCACCAGTCCTCTCATGCCTCCATCTCTCTCTTTACTGATTACTACAATGTCAGAAGGGAAAAAAGTTTGCCATTTTGAAAAGATTATTAATATCCTGTTTGGATGACAAATGAAGAGTCTCTTTTCTATAACTTGATAATTATAAACTGAAAAAGCCCAGTCCCTCTTTTCTCTTTTTGCCAATGCTAATCCCTCTTTGTCCATTACTGTTACCATCTGCAAACTTACTTGTTTTCAAGAATTAAGAAAAGCTAGGTGCTATTGTGTTTCTTATTTTTCAATGCTATTGTGTTTCTTATTTTTCAATAGGCTATGTATTTTTAGCCTCTGTTGACTCTGCTACCTTGTACACTTATTTGTGTGCAATATGCTCTTCCATAGCAATATTCAGTGGAAAATTCTTTTTGACAAGCCATAGCCAGCTTAATTGAGTCATGATGTATGCCATTAAAAAGCTTCCAGTGAGGCAAACAGTCCTTTTTCTAAGGTAGCATATGCTTTCACTGGGTTTCAACATGACTATATGGTCTCACATGACTAAAGAAATTACGTTCTTCATTTGTGAAAAGTTACAGAAAGGTATGGAGTAAATATTTGAGTTAGTTCATTAAATTTTAAAGGGGTATTATTTCTATTAGGTTTTCCCTCTTATGTGTAGTGAAACCTATTTTTCAAAATCTTAGCAGTGAATTATAGGTAAATTTTTTAAATTTGTTTTTTACTGCATCATTTAATCACTCCCTAATGAGAATCCCAAAACAACTCTTCTAAAATTTTGATTTTAATGTCACAGGAAAAGTAATATTAATAGAAACTACTTTGTCAAGATAGTATTTCTGATTCTTTGACTTTGCAGCCTGAGGCCATTCCAAATTCTGGCATTACTTTTAATGTTTTCAGGGCAGATGCTGTTAGGACTTTTCAGCACAAGCAGTAGATTATCAGCATGCATTAGTTAACTTGTGAACCTCCATCTGAATATCCAGATGCCCATGGGAGCTGGGTGATATTATAGCTCCAATGTCAGCATGAAGAGCAACAGCAGTAATGGGCATCGTTCTTACTTCCCTCCCCAATTCAGCAATAAGGCAGGGAGAGGAGATTGAAACCATTGATGTGAACCATATAAGTGGGTTAAAAAATAAATTGTGCTATCTGTTATATTCGTCCCCAAAGCCAAATTTACCTAACACATAATACAAACAGCCCCATTTGATTGCATCAAAGGAGTTCTTGGCATCTAATAAAAGTGTTTCTATGGGTTCCAATTTTCTTTTAGTATTTCAGATGAGTTGCATTAGCCTATGCAGATGATCTGATGCTTATCTTACAGGCATAAAGCCCTCTTGAATAAGGGTCTATTAGATTTTTGATTACTTTATTTAGTCATATAGCAAGAATTCTGGTATTATTTCATAACCTACCCACAATGTATATGAATATATTTTTCCCCCACAGTACTTCTAAGATGATAACAAGAAATCTGGAGTTTGAGGCTATATGGATATATATAACAGGATAAAGGACTGTAGGCCACCTTAATTCCAAACCACAGGTAATATTTGATGCTTTAAAAATTCACTACAAACCATTTAAATGCATTACATTTATTCATAGTCTATTTCTGAAACTAGTGGCTCTTCATGGTAGAGAGAAGTTAATGTGTTGTTAAGCAACCTAAATTTTTATAAAGCTATTTTGAAAGTAACTCAATGCCACAGAAAGAGATATTAATTATTCCTTGCTTTTCAACCGCCATTTTGCAAGGCTGCCCCACTTCCTATTCTTTGGCTCAGCATCTGCAAAGAAAAGGAAAGCACAGAACCCCTCCATAGGAGAATTTTGGGCATTACAGTCATAAGAAGCACTTCTTTAGAATATGTCCCACAATATTTTAAAGTCTTTTTCCAAGTATCTATAACTTTCATATGCTTTGGAAATAGGCAACTCCATAGAGTTAGAAAACTGAGAAATGGAGAATACAGGCAAAGCTACTTGATAATCTTCCTATAGCAGGCAGCATGGGAAACATCTCAGCACAGGAAGAAGAGCTGGATTTGGGAGCAGGTTTTAATCTTGGCTCCAACCTTTCCTTAGCAGTACAGCCTTGACAAGTTATTAACAGCACTGAGCTTTGCTTTTCTTATCCACCAAAGGGAGGTTATAATACTCACATCTGGAATTATTTGAAAGATTCATAAAGATAACATAAAGAATTTCATCAAATATTTAATCTTCAATAAATATTAGCTGTTTCATTACAATAATTAGTAATAATACAGTGATATATATATATATATATATACACACACATATACATTTGCATTCTTAAGTAATCATGGGAAGGTTTAATCCAATGGTACACCAGATATTCAGATTAGACTAGATGGCATTTTACTGGGAAAATAATGGCATTCAACAAAGCACCCTGTGAAAGTTGGTGATTAACCCACACTGAATAATCCCACTTTATAAATGTATAGTATCTTAACATAGGATTTCAAATAAAAAACAAGCCAAGAAGCATAAACTAAGAAAAAAGCTATTTCCATCATCATTAATCTTCTGTATTAACACAGTACTTTTATTTGGTAAGTCGACTGGGTACATGAAATCTAGCTTTACTTTAAACATACCAATTAGATATAAATGGGGGGGTGACCATGCAATAAAGATATGGAAAGAAGTTCTTCCTAAGACTTCTCAGTTATATGAACCCAGGTATTTGTATAAGCTTGTAAAACAAAAATCAGTTAATGAGCAAATAGTCTCTAGTTTAAATGCATGAAATGTAATAAACAATTCAATAGGATTCAGCTTCAGCAGAATTTTGTATTTCTACCATCAAAATAAGTTTTTTAAAAAACTCATTTACAAATAGATATAATCTTTTAGAATATGCTTCATAATTTTTCTTAATGGTTGGAAAAATGTGTTTGGACTATAAGTGAAGCAATTTCTGGGGAAAACAGATGATGCAAACCTGAAGTTAAAACCCAAAGTACATATACAGAAATGTACAGAATATTCCCAGGATATGTGTAAACAGGAAGAGCCACTTAGTAAATGGTATTGAATAGCTCATGGGCTTTGGTAATAGTATATAGAATCCACTTTCATTAGGCATCTCCCTCTTGTGCATTAATATGTGACATCATACTCTCATATAACATTTCATAATGAAGTGAAATAAAAAGCCCCTCCAGATTGCAACTGTAAGATAATCAGATTCTGTACTGCTCATTATGACTGCAATTATGTAACAAAACTCTCCAAATATAGTTCAGTTATTGCCGTTATTAATCATTCTGGTTTAGTTTCAAGTACTTGCTTTATAGCCTGCTGGATAGTCTCCATTATTGTACAAGCTGAATGTCGAAAGTCAAACATGTGCATGTGAATCTGCTGTTCTAATGGTCTTTCAAAGGCCTTTCAACATAATTTACCCTTTCGATTTGTATTTGTGAATGCGAAACAAAAGGGGGGGAAATAAAGCTGGTGTCAATGGAGTCATTGACCTTTGCAGTAAACAGAGATAGTTCTTAATGGAAAACAACTTGGCAAATTAGAAACCTATTTTGCTAGAACTAGAAATAGTGGTGCTTAAGAAGTTAGTCTCAGAATACTGATCAATTTTTACAAAAAAGGGGAAAAATCCTGAAAGACTAAGTATTTGACTATATGTTTGCATGTTTAAGGAGGAAAATAAAAAGAGGGCCAGCAAATGGGCATTTTTAAAGGCTCAAAGAACCAACATTCACTGTGTAGAATATATTTCTAAACGTTTTATGCACAAAAACCATGTGTTCTGATTAATTTAACTACAAAATGCCAAGTAAAAGATAGCAGATTTATTGTACAGAACAAACACCATCTGCACCACCTTAAATCACTGCTACAGATATATTCCTAGGGAGGAAAAAAAAAAAACCCTGAAAAATTCTCAAGCCTAGATTCTGAGATGCTAAAGTATTTACTAATGAGGATTCCAAAAGTAATGGCATAATTATTTAAATATTAACATATCAAGGGCCTGTAAAAATAAATAAAATAATACATTAACATAGTTTACAAAATGCATGTTGCCAATTTCATATGGTTGACAGTTTTTTCAATTTAGCTACATACATTGGACCCCAGGCTTTGCCCTTATCTGGAATTACCAAGAGTCCATATTCCTGGCCAGTGGGAGCAAACGTGAGGTCTTGGGAACAAGTCCTTACCATTCCCTTAATGTCCACAGGCATGATGTTACTGTAGGAATTTAAAATTTCACTGATGACATCTTGGTTTTCTGCTTTGGAAAGTGTGCATGTAGAGTAAACAAGTAACCCTCCAGGACGCAGGGCCTTAATTGCAGACCTGCAAGTAATCACAAATATGCAGAAGATAGATTAATTAGGTAAATTAAGAGGAAAATAGGGGGTGTGAGGGTGAGGAGGCTTATGTACTTGAAACTAACCTTCAAGATTACTGTAATTTTGGACGTTTTTCAGCTTTGCAAATATTTCTAACTTACCCCTAGGCGACTGAGAAACTTAAACTGGATCCATCAGCATGGGAAAGACAGAAGTGGTATGTTAGTTTTGATCTTTTAAGGGTACGAAGATAGGGATAAAAATATTTTTATCCAAAGACATATTTATCTTTACCTATACCAAAATATTGTCTGATACACTGCTGCAAGAGGAGTCCCGTAGGTTCAAGCTCAAGCCACCCAAAATTCACAATGGGGCGACAATGGACTTGAGCATACCAACTGTCGTGAAGACGGTGCAGGACTGGGCAACATTTCTTCCTGTTGAACATGGGGTCACCATAAATTGGAGTCGACTCAATGGCAACTAACAACTGTGGATATACTGAGTTGTGTTAACAGATAGGTGGGAAGGAGCATCTGAACTTCAGAAAAGAGGTTAGAGCTCAGAGTGACAGCTGAAGGCATAGGAATCAGATTTCCCAGGAACCAAAGACAAGAAGAAAAGTGGATGAAAGACACACACTCAGATTTGCTCTGCAAACTTTCACCCAAATCACAATAAAAATTAAAAAAAAAAAAAAAGACACACTCAGGCAATGTCTATATTTAAAGGGAAAGAGAACTTAGAAAGGAAATTAAGAATGCTTCACCTGATGATTAGTTTGAAAGTAGAGATTGAAAGGATGATTTTTTTTTAATTTTTAAGTGAGAGATTTGAATATCCCTATAGATGCAGATGCAGGAAAAGAAAGGTCCCAGGGCTGCAGACTGCAAATGGAGAAGTCAACTTCAAAAAAGGTATTCCAGATCTTCATCTGAAACAACATGGGAGCAAGAACAGAGATATCTGAAGGTAGATGACATTCACGATAAACAGTCTGATTCAGTAGAGTAGGAAGCAAGGTTGTCTACTACAAAAGTTTTAGTCTTGATTATAACCTCTAAGCAATCACTAATTAGGAATTTTTTTTAAAGAAATCATGTTCCAGGACCTCTGTTTGTTTTGAGTGCATATTCAGCTTCCATGTTTCACATGTTCATCTTAACAATGAGCACATAACATCAATGTAAGTTCAAATTCTGTGCTCTATGTTTGATTAGAAAAGGAATGAGAAATTCTAATTTGAGACAAGCAAATTGATGACAATGTTGAATTTTACATGAACGCTATGATTCTGGAAAACAGGAGCAGTTCAAGAAATCTCGCCACCCTAAGTGTGCTGTAGTAAGTTTCAGAGTTAATTGAGGGAGAGATTGAAATCAGGGTAACAATATAGGGTATAGATAACTCTTACCAAGAAATCAGTAGTCAATGTCTAAAGCTGGTAAGTTAAAAATACAGGATAAATATATTATTTAGAGATTTAGGAGTGACCTGGAGGAAAATTAAGAACAGGGATACTTAGAAGTGGTTGCCCCTAAGGAGTAAGACCTGGAGAGGAGAGAGGTAAGGGAAAGTTCATTTTTACTAGATGCTCATTTATATTTTCAGTTTTCTTCCCATGTGATGCATTTCTATAATATTACAAATTAAAGTGGATATATGAGAGAGTATGATGACTATCAGAACTTTTTCCACAGAAGTCAGTTTTCCTTTATTTAAAAAAATTTCTGTTAAAGTGGCTCTGTAGAAAAGCATCCTCCCTGAGGTTCCATATAATTAAATTGTGATGGCTGCAGAATTTCTAGTCTTCCTATACATTCGTTTATTAAAATATATGCTTTTGGGACGACTACCACTAAGGGCCTACTTACCATCCATTATCTGCTGCTAATCTTAAAAAAGAAAAAAATAATACAGTATATGTGTGTTTTCCTTACTTTACACTGTCCCCTATTTATCCCCATAGGAATGAAAACAGCTCATACCTAGACACCAGAGATGTGAACTGTTAATAGAATAGCTAGAACTCTGTGGTAGGCAGAATGGCAGGCTCCCAAAGATGTTCATATCCTTATTCCCAGAACTGTAAATATGTTACTTTACATGGCAGAGGGGACTGTGCAGATGCAATTAAATTAAGGATCTTGAGATGGAGAAATTATCCTTGATTATCCAGGTGGATCCAATGTACTCACAATGGTCTTTAAAAGTGAAAAAGGAGGCAGTAGAGTCAGAGAAAGACATGTTGAGAAAATCTGAGGAAGGAGTGACAGGACTGCTGACTGAGAGCCAGGAGCCATGGAATGTAGACTTTTCAAAAGCTGGAAAAGGCAATGAATGGATTCTCCTTTAAAGCCTCCAGAAGGGACACAGTCCTGCTGGCACCTTGCTTTTAGTCCCATGAGACCCATTTTGGACTTCTAACCCCAAAACCAAAACCAAACCCACTATCACCTAGTCAGTTCTGACTCAGAGAGTGACCCTAAAGGACAGAGTAGAACTGCCCTATAGTGTTTCCAAGGCTGTAAATCTTTACAGAAGTAACCTACAACAACTTTCTCCCACAAAGCAGCTGGTGGGTTCAAATCACCAACCTTTCTATTAGCAGCCAAGCACTTTAAGCACTGCACTACCATGACTTCTTTGTGACCTCCAGAGACATAAGTAATAAATGTGTTATATTAAGATACTATGTTGGTACTAACTTGTTATAGCAACAATAGGAAACTAATACACACTCAGCAATGGCTTTACACACTCAGCAATGGCTTTTTTTTTTTTTTGATAGATATACACTTAGGAGCTCTGGTAGCATAGTGGCTAAGGCACTTGACTGCTAACCAGAAGGCTGGCGGTTCAAACCTACCAGCCACTCCTCGGAAGGAAGGTTGGGCAATCCTACTTCCATAGTGATACTGCCTCGGAAACCCAAGGAGGGGTCGCTATGAGTCGGGGCTGACTCGACGGCACATAACAACAACTAACAATATACTAAGGCATCTGCAGATTTTGCCAAAATTGTGTAACTTATCATAATTATGCTCATTTTGGATCATTCTCTCCTGCCTTTAGAATGGGTATAAGATTTTCTAAAAACTGTTAGATTACTGTGCAAGGAAAATATGCAGTATTTGAATGTAGATATCTTTAAACTCCTATTAAAAAGACTTATTTTGGCCATAGTTCAATAATTAGCAAAGCCAATGCTTAATCAAGTAAGTATGATTCTTTCTCATTACAGCTGTACAGAAGTACATAAAAGTCTCATCATTTACAAACAATATGTTCCTGCTTGATGCAAATTTAAATTAATTTCTATAATGTTGCCAATATTGGCTGATTCTTCTGCTTTGTTTTCACTCCAACAGTCATAATTTATCTTACTAAAATTAGGCTGGTATAACTTACCCGCCTGCATTAATTTCTAAACAAGGAAATGGTGTGTGGCAGTCCAACAGCTTTTTTACAAATTGGTTAATCCCAAGACCTTAAGGCAAAACGTGAGGGGCTCCCATCAAATGATTGCTGCTGTTTTGCTCTGCTGGTTGTTTAAACACCAATTTATCCTCTTGCTTGTGGTAGCTACGGATTTCAAGAGTACCACAGTACTGGATCAGAACGCAGGCAATATGCAAAAAGCTCATCCTAGGTTTATATATCCAGGATTTTTCTGAACTGAGAATGACCTTATGCCATAGATGATATTTTGCTCATTAACTGAACATGTCCATGTTGAGGTACATCACTGTTTTGCAGAAAGTATAACAGTATCTCTAGAATTAGCACTTATTGATACACATAATAGTTTCTCTACTTTTGGTACATAAATGGCAATGGGTTCTCAATTTTACTTAAGGCTGCAACATTCAACAACTTTATAATGAGACTAGCTCAGTGATTTAAAAATGAATACTTCTGGTCTTAATCTTCTATAAAAATTTAAAGATAAATTCAGTGTATTTTTATAACATACTAAATGAATATTAATACACTTCTAAAATTTAAGTATCTACATACTCAGGACCTTGTCCACTAATGTAGTGTTTAGGCCAAATCTTCTGCTTCCCTAACTATTCAGAAATATTTTGAAATGGTCTATAAGAAACAAGTACTCATAGATTTCACTGAAAACATAAAATAGTATAATATATATGACTATCCATGTATTTTTAGATAGTAGGATGTGAAAAAGGGTTGTTGTAGAAGACAAATGAATATAATCAGAACAGAAAAAAAACATACTTCAGTACTGCTTTATTGGTCTTAACAAACTCACTAACAGAAAATATTTTGGGAAGAAAGGGAAATAACATTTAAAATGAGAGAGAATAGAGAACTACTAATTAACTCTGACAAAGTTGTAGTATTGATGATATAAAAAGACAAGTCAGGACTAGAAATGAAGAAAAGCCATGTTGGACTAAGTAAATTTCTATGCCATGCAGTTATCCTTTTTTCTTGTTAATGTTGCAGTTGTTGGGTGTCACCAAGTGATTCCAACTCAGGGACCCCTTGTGAAGACTAGAACTATCCCATAGGGGTTTTTTTGGCAGTAGTCTTTATGGAAAAAAAACTGCCAGGTCTTCCTGCCTCAAGGTCAATCAATGAGTTCGAACCTCCAACCTTTCAGTTAGCAGCCAAGCACTTAGAAGAAGGAAAATTAAACAAGTAAACAACATCTCTTTTGGCACAACAGTCTCCTCTGCTGCTGTTGTTAGCTGCCATGGAGTTGGTTCCTCCACTAACCTTCTTCAAATGAATAGTGGCTCCTTAGCTTCTCAATGACTCCAAGATTCATGGCCTAACAAGTTCTTCAGCAATGAGGTATTCTTTCACCTGTGCTATAATCACAAACTATATTGCATGATATTACTATAAATCAAGTTGCATTAAGACTGGCATTACATACCATGGAAATATGACTGTTGCTAGAGAGATGTGCAGCAGAGCTTTCTAATCATACTTACAAGTAGAAGGCAGAACAGGATGTCATGGCTA